TGATTAAACATTGCAAGTTATCTCTATATCTCTATAGCAAGACACACAGTATGAACGAATGAGTAATGTATATAGTATGAACTACAATATGATTAAACATTGTAAGTTTCTTTTTAGCAAAGTGTAAATAATGCATATACTGTAATATGAATTGTAACTTAAGATATGTATTTTTATCTTCTGTTTCATTAAAGACTAATAATAATAATAATAATAATAATAATAATATATATATATATATATATATATATATATATATATATATATATATATATATATATATATATATATATATATATATATATATATATATATATATATATATATATATATATATATATATATATATATATATATATATATATATAGCTTAAGATATATTCGTAAATAATGTGGTTTACGAAACGCAAAGAGTGCTCGATAACACATAGTCAGAGCAAAAATATCATTTTCGCTTACCTCAAAAAGTCTGCTACAGGCTGTTTCATCCGTATAGGAATGTATAGAGATTCCTATACGGATAAAATAGCCTGTAGCAGACTTTTTGAGGTAAGCGAAAATGATATTTTTGCTCTGACTATATGTTATCGAGCACGCTTTGCGTTTCGTAAACCACATTATTTTACGAATATATCTTATATATATATATATATATAGCTTAAGTTTTTGGTTTACGAAACACAAACAGTGCTCAATACCATATAGATAGAGCGTAATATAGTTTTCCGTTTTGACTCCAACTGTTAAAATATAAAATGTGAACAGTGAACTTGTAAATAAAATAAACATACCAGTTTGTCCAAGTTTTTCGGCTATTTCTTGCATCGATCTATCACGCAAATCTCTATTTTTAAAATCGCGACTCCTCACGTCATAAAGGCAAGGGTAATCTGGCCAAATATCGGCGATTTTGTCTTCCAACAATGCTTCGGACACCACAACGCTACTTGTCGCCATTTTGGTTAATTGAAAGATTCATGTAGCACGCATGCGTATTGGCATCATATTGTAAGCTGTTTGCTTTTCCTGCCCGCACACTTAAAGATAATCGACACTCGTGTCAAAAATTATTCAACATGTTGAACATTCAGTGCTAATGGCAGGCATGCCGGAAATCCCTCAAAACGTCCCCGCACACCTGAGAAACTTGCTTACGCCAACAGTCACGCGTGACGCTCAGCTCAGCTGATAGCTCTAGTGTGCGGCGGGCTTAATACAGATTAAAGTAAACGTGATGTTTCCACATACACGGTGTCCCCAAAAAACTATTGAAATCACCAACTACAATTTAATTGTTAGAATTTGAATGCCTTAGCACTTTGTTAGTTCCCACGAGTGCATAAACGATTGACATAAGTAAATTTTATGCATAAAGAAACTGTTTAAGAAGCTGTTTTAAATTCTCAAGAGCAGAAAATCGAGCACTTTACAAGAAGATGTTTTTAACTAAATTTTGATACATGCACCTTGTCAATATTTTACCCATCATTACGTTCAACTGTTTGGAAGGGCATTCAAATTTTAACAATAGTGATTTCAATAGATTTCGTTTTTTTGGGACACCTTGTATGGCTGCTAAACAATAATATTTTCGGCATGCAAACAAACAAGAAACTAATTATTACACCCACACATTACGATTATTCAATTTTTGGTTGCTGCTTCTTTCGGTGACAGTGAGAACAAGGCCTGAACTAAATAAGGCTTTTGGTAGCGTTCACTGTTCCACATTACAATTGAACAAGTTACGAATTAACAAGATAAGCTTGTGAGAGACAAACTAACTGGATAGAACTCGCCACAGTATGTAATTTGATATTATCATAAATTATTGAGAGAATCACCGAGAAGGACTGAGTCCAAATCGTCATCAATCTGTTGATTTAAACTGAAGATTTATTGAAAACATAGTTAATAGAGGAGATGGTTTGGAAACTCGTTAGCATTACAATAAAATCACAATAAACCTCATTACCTTTGTTGTTCAGGTTTATACAAAAATGTGGTCTTTCATCGTCACGTGCGTATTGTATTTTTCTGCAGTCAACCAATAGGAATGTTCAAAATGTCCTTTTGTTAAAGTAATGGATGGGCAATTGGACAAAACCATTGCTATTGGCTGGTTGAGCAAAAATACAATACGCACGTGAAGATGAAAGACCACATTTTTGCATAAACCTGAACAAAAACATAGATAGTGAGGTTTATTGTAATGCTAATGAGTTTCCAAACCATCTCCTCTATTAAATATGGTGAAAATTAGGACGGTTTTATTGTATAATTTATAATGAGGCATAATGTGACATGAAGACTTGAAAAATTCATGATTTTTTTTAAGCTTGACGCCGACTAAATTCCATCGCTCTGCAGGTAACACATTGACTTTTTTTGCCCCCTTCTGCATGGTCTCGCGAGAAAATTGCGCGCCATAAACGCGTGTGTTGTGTCCACTAGAATAACATGTTCAGGCTCTGTGTATTATATAATGCCATTATTTTCCATAGGCCATAGCTAGAAGGTGTTCGTGGAAACGTGAAAAGCTGCTGACCGAAGGTATGTACTGTATGTATAATATAAACAGCTGTCTTTTTTATGTACTATTTAAAACATGAGAAGGAGCTTTTATCAGATAAAATACGACTACAAAAACAAATACAAATTAGGATGAACAATTATATAATCATACTAATTAAGATGAACAATTATACTAATAATTAAATAACCCCTTTACGGCCCCCTGTCGTGCCCCCCTCAGCACCACCTACAATAACGTTTCCTGGTATGCCCTTGAGTGTTCTAAATCGTCCTCGAAAAGTGAAAAGCAACATTTCAAATCAAAAACATTGTGTAAATAGAAATAATCTGATACAGATTCAAACCAAGAGAGCCATTCCTGGGACTCAGGCACATAACCGCTTACCAACCTTTAGCTGTTTACCAACATTCTTTCACTCCAACGTAAGATCCTTAAATGCTAAGATTGATGATTTGCAAACTGTCACCCAACAAAATAACGTAGATGTAATCGCCATAACAGAAACTTGGTTAAATTCTAGAATCACCGATGATCCAATATCCCTCCCAGGCTACTCTATTGTTCGAAATGATCGTGAAAATGGCAAACGGGGCGGAGGAGTGTGCGCTTTTATTAAGTCCAATATACCCTTTTCCACCCTTCCTAATTTTAGTGTCCCCGACGTCGAAGGTGTGTGGTTAAAACTCAGACCTTACCGACTACCTCGCGAACTATCCTGCATCTTTGTTGGCGTGATTTACCATCCACCACTAGCAGACAACAATATCCTGCAAGATTACCTTATTTCCACGGTAGATAAATTATTATTAGAGCATCCTAACGCAGGAATTATGATATTGGGTGATTTTAATCATTTTGACTACAAAACATTATGCCGCCATTCCTTCTTGAAACAAACTGTTAAGAAACCTACCAGGCAATCAGCCATTTTAGATTTGATCTTAACCAATATGCACAAGTGGTACAACGAACCTGAAATCTTACCAGCAATTGGCTTGTCTGACCACCTGTCCGTTCTTGCTACTCCTGCTGTTCAAGCTAAACTACCCAATAATATTATTAAGAAAACTGTACGTAAAACAAAACCGTCTAGCATAACATCACTTGGAAAATTCGTCAAGTCATTGGACTGGAGTCACCTTTACCGCTTACCTTCTTGCCAAGATAAATGCGACCTTTTCTACAACCTACTTATGTTAGGACTAGATACCTTCCTGCCAAAGAAAAAGGTTAAAGTTCATTGTAGGGATAAACCATGGATCACTCCGGATTTAAAAAAGCTTATATCAGACAGACAACATGCATTAGCTGCAGGAAATCGTAATTTGTATAATCAACGTAGAAATGATGTCCGCAGAGCAATAAAACAAGCAAAACCTTCCTATTTTCAAACTCAGGTTAAACATCTTAAAACCGCTGATCCATCGAAATGGTGGAAAGCCGTAAAAAATCTGGCAGGCTACACTTCAGATAAGTCCTTTCATTCTGTGATCAATGACAACCGAATATTAGAAGGTAAAAACCTAGCAAACGCTATCAATGAATCATTTGTTGCTGTTAACAAGTCTATGCCCCCTCTTTCCGAATTCGATAAGCAATTCCTTATAGCGCCTTGCGAATACCACATCCCAGTAGAACTAATTGGACGTCGCTTAGAAAAAGTTAAAATATCAAAAGCGCCAGGCCCTGATAGTATACCTAATTGGCTACTAAAAGAATTCTCGGCTGAACTTGCTACACCAGTGGCATCTATCTTTAATGCCTCCATTGCCCAAGCTCAAGTACCTTCACAATGGAAAGCGGCTGACATTATCCCTATTCCAAAGACCCACCCAGTACAGGATATTAACAATGACCTCAGACCAATATCTCTCAACGCTACGTTATCTAAAGTTTTAGAGTCATTTAATGCAGAATGGATCCGTGATAGCATCTGCCAGAAACTCGATCCAAAACAGTTCGGAGCAATTCCCGGCTCCTCTTCAGTTGATGCCTTAATTAGCTTACTCCACTCCCTATACGCTGACTCAGATGGAAATGGTAAAACTGTGCGTTTATTCCTACTGGACTTCAGCAAGGCTTTCGATCGGATTAACTATAAGATACTAATCACAAAGATGCGCAAATTGGATATAAACCCATCCGTTATCAATTGGGTAATTGACTTTTTGTCCGGAAGGAGACAGCGGATTAAAATGGGTAACGTATTTTCAGATTGGTCTGCAGTAAACGGTGGGGTACCCCAAGGAACAGTGCTCGGTCCTATACTCTTCTTAATTATGATAAATGACTTGGTTACTGAGCATGATCGAAGGTGGAAATTTGTGGATGATACAAGTGTCTCTGAAGTTATTAATAAAGGTGAGCAAGGGAAGATGCAATCCCTTGTTAATGCGATAAACAGCTGGTGTATAAAGAATGACATGAAACTTAATCAATCTAAGTGTAAAGATATGATCATCTCGTTTGCGAAAGATCCTCCAAAACTGGCCCAATCTTCGTAAACAATCACAAACTAGTTCCTGTATCTTCAGCAAAAATCCTAGGCACTTATATTTCCACAGACTTGAAATGGAACACACACATAAACTATATTGTATCCAAGGCTTCTAAGCGCCTATATTTTTTACGCATATTAAAACGGGCTGGACTTGATCATACATCCCTTTTAACCGTCTATACTACCTGCATAAGATCAGTCCTCGAATACGGTTGCCAATTATGGAACTTTGGTGCTTCCCAATACCTTTCTGATGACGTCAAGCGGGTCCAAAAGCGAGCACTAAGAATAATTTATCCTGATCTATCTTACAGGAAGGCCTTGGAGGTTATTCCGCTTCCAAATCTTTCACAAAGACGAGATGAACTTTGCAGATCACACCTTAAAAGAATGACTAAACCAAGTCATAAATTGTACTATCTTCTCCCTGACAAACGTACTAACAATCTTAGAAATAACGACAATTTTACACACATTTGGTCTTGTACCAACCGTTTTAAAAATAGTTATATACCAAGTAGTGTAGTATCTTTTAATACCTATACGTCTTAATAAACTATATAATATATAATCATATCTTAATTATTAGTCTTTAACTTGTAATTTTATAAACTGTATTTTTAGAACATTATGTAAACCGAGCAATTCAGCTTTGTAGCTGCAAATCGTTTTTTTTTATAATAATAATAATAATAATAATAATAATACTAATGAAGATGAATTTTATCAAATATAAAGTCATTCCAAGTGACATATTATGGCTGACATCATTTGCCACAAAGTTTATGGATTATTAATGAGTATTTAAAAATTATATAGGGAATTCGGTCTCAGTTAAATATTAGACAGCTTAGCAAACGCAACGAGTCATCAATCAGAACGTGAAATTCACGTTATACATGCACTTCGCATTTCCTTCCCGTTTGAATCTGCGATTTCGTGCTTATCTCTTTCGAAGCAAATATTATGTTTGTTTTCGCCGTTTGCATATTTCCTTATTGCTGGCAGATCCAAGGTCAAAACATACAGTATAGTTCAGAATATCATGATTGATTGCTATAATCAACGCATAACCGCTAGGCAGGCACCTTGTCTTGATCAAGTTTAACCCTATTTGTACCGGGGTTTTTTCATGTTGATATGACCAGGGGTGCGCTGATAGGGCGCACCCCTCAGAAATTCTGTCGATTAACCGCCATTATCCTATATGTTTTATTTTTTGTAAGTTTTATCTTTCTTTGACCTAAAAATAACAAAAAAATTAAATTTACATCCAAAATGCTGTTTTTTGGCCCCATTGGATACGACCGCCTATCAAAAATGGCGAATATTGCTAATATTTTACCCATTTTGGTTACTTTTCGTAATGAGATAAAAAACATTTTGGATATGATATTTTTTGGGTCTTTTACATTCAAAAGACATATTTTTATGTTTTGGCATGTCTCAGATGTCCATAAACACCACTATTTTTCTTTCCAAGCTGGCATTTTTGTACCATATGAAAAGACATATAAACTGAAACTTACCTGTCTCGCCATAAACAATGCAAATCATTTTCAACATCACTAATTTTACCTTCATCACTGTGACACTGTCATTGTTGTCGTAATGACTGATTGCATTATTAATCTGCTTCCCTGCCTATTGAGGACATCCATTTTTCGGTTCCCCTCCCTTAGAATTTCCACATATTTTAGGCAAATTTTTAGCCTCCCCTGTGGAATTTCCGCAGATTTTTATTGAATTTTAGCCATGCCCATGGAATTTCCGCAAATTTGTTATGAACTTTTAACCCACCCCATGGAAATTCCTTGACAGTACGTTTTTGATGTAGCCAGTGGAAATTCCGTATTGATTCTTTGATTTGTAGCTATTCCTTGGAAAATTTCTTGTTGATTTTAATTTATCTTATTCGTTGGAATTTCTTTTCTATTGTTGACCATTTTTGGTTCACTGTTGCAGGGGTCCATTGGAAATTCCACACCCATAAATCGCATAATATTCCCAATTGCGCATTCTGCCCAAACCATAGCTCCTTTTGTTGGCATAACTTCTTTAGTATAAACCGAAGAAAACGTTGATCTGAACTCTGAAGTCGATGAACAAAAGTTTGTAGAAAAAATACGAAATGGCGACCATGTTTGTATACCAAAATACCATAGGTGAGCTACGAGCTTGCAGTATAGTTTTGAAAACACAATATTCACTTTGAATTTACAATATCCGCAAGGACTTTATGCGAAATATTTGATCTTAATTCGTACATTTGTCGAATCAAAGACCGTTCATATACTCTGCAATAGACCCTATATCATGGTTCCTACATGTTTGATGTTTACCCAAAGATAGGAAGATGTTAATATGCTTTGAAGGTGCAAAGAAATATGTGTATTTGTGTATATAAAAATATTATAAATAAGCATTTTATATTAAATAAGTACTTTGTAGTTTACTATATTGCATGTTATACTATATTTTACTATTATATATAATATATTATGGATATTTTACATTGCAAATCATGTGTAATAATCCATCTTTATATGTTCTCTAATTATATTATGTTATTTATGTCCTGGGAAGTGATTCAGCCAAAAAATACTGTCCAATCCACATTTTCTCTTTTTTGGCCTCGACACCTTGTTTGACAAATGTCGGCAAACGTCCGGATAACGATGAATATTCAGAAAAATTTTCAGTCATGACGGCAGAGAAAAAATATTAAAAGTCATGAAAGTACAGGCAAATGGGATCATTTGTTCAGGAATGACGGATAAGTATGTATAGGGGTGCGCTCATTGTGCGCACTCCCGGTACAAATAGGGTTAAATAAGAGTTGGTCTACCAATCAAATCAATGCACGTTCGGTTGAATGGCTTCTACGTAAGCCAGATTGAAATCCATACAATAGGTTATTTACTGAAAGATAAGTATACAACGAATCATAAATGTGCCTTATATATATCTTTGATCAAAATTGGGAGCATCGATATTGGGTGATAGTTTTGTTTGTCTGACTTTTCACCTTGCTTTTCATAAACTGGTGTCTGGTGTAACTTTCGCTGTCTTCCAACTTATAGGAACGTTGCTCTGCTGAATACAATGACTGATTAGTCTCGCGAGTACACTAGCAATACCTACAGGTGCAGCTATCTTCAATACTGTAGGGCCAAGTTTAACGGCTTATTTTATTTACAGGCACTTTTTGCAATGTTTTCAGTACTTTATGTAATATAATCAAGGGAAGTTGGAAGGAGTTTTTAATACCCCTTTTACCGTCCAATGAAAAAGATATGTTGCCGTCTTGATTATGAGGTTTGAACATACTGTAAGTCAGCGAAGAAGGAGTTAAATATGTTCGCAATGTTATTGGTGTCGTTGTTATATTACACCATTGATGTTGATGACTCGTTTATTAATATCAAAATTTCTTCGGGTTTCGCTTGTTTTCATTTACCTGTGAGTTAGGCTGGGATTACACTATACCGGATTACTTTCCATACCGGTTTAATTTTCACACCGAAGGAAAAGTCAAGGGTGTTTACATTATACCGCTTTCTTTCCGGCGCCATCTCATGTATTATTATAGTTTTATCGTTGTCACGGAAACAAGAAATAATATTTTGCCAATATTCTAAAATTTACTCGTAACAAGGAGTATTTACGCACGTTTTCTCCCAAGTATTTGCGATGTTTACCTTTGTTTAGGATGCTTGACCAGTATAGACGTTGCTTCGTCTCGCTTTGATTCAGAATTGACGAGTATTTCCTTAAGTTTAGCCACTTCGAAAACGAGAAATCAGTTTTATATTTGTCTCCGCCAGAAATAGTAAATGGTTGTAAAGTGAAACAAACAGCGGCTATAAAGTCTCTAAAGTATTGTCAAAACGAGCAAATAAAGCCGATAAATGTTGAAATATAAGTGCTGGAAAAGATTTTGTACCGGAGCGTACTGTTTACACTTGGTTTATCCAGTACGGCACGTACCCTTGCCCCCAGAGCAGCCTTAGAGTCCATTACCCTTACGGTTATCAGAGCGGGCCAAATATATATACCCCGCAGGATGAAATATAAGGTTATAAAAAGTCTATTGGGTTAAATATACTTATAATATGACACTTACTGTATTGTAACAACAAAAGCTGTCTGTGTCTACTCTTAATTCTCAGCTGGCAAAAGAGAACAATTGTTCCATTTGGAAGCTAATTTATATTTAGTATAAATTTAAGTTCATGGGCAATGCTCTCCACTTTATCTAACAAATTTAGTCTAATTTATATGACAATTGCATACGGTACAAAGGTCACGGACCCACAGCTATCATTTGTATTTAAGAAATAGAAAACGAGTCGCGTGCTTTTAGGGTGTGATAATGCACGCGGGGAATGTTGGGAGAATACTCGAGAAGCGTGTAAAACACGAGGCGCAGCCAGGTGTTTTACACACTTCTCGAGTATTCTCCCAACATTCCCCAATTGCATTATCACACCATAAACGCACGAGACGAGTTTTTCTATTTCTTTTATAATATAAGATTATAAGTAGAAGATATCACATAGTAAACAATTTTACTCAAAAGATCGACGTTGAAATTCTTCTAACATGTACTCAGTGACGTAACGTCACGCGCATGCTTTTACTGTCGCTTGAATTTTTAAGCGAGCGAAGGAGAAAAATTGCCAAAACAATATAGGCTACAAAGTTTTGGTTCTATACAGTAAAGCCGGAAAAATTGTTTAAAATAGTGGAAATAAAAAAACAGTGACACACAGACTAATTTGCCAAAGTTTTTCAGCGTCTGGGCTGCTGGATTTGCCATGAAAGACGGTAATTAATTATACTAAGTTTTAATTTTCGAAATTATTGTATTTTTTGTCTTTGCCGCTTTGGCCGAAAATATATCTAGCAATTATTATCAGAAGAATTGAAGGTACTTTCTAAATCACTTATATTCAGTTTTTGTTGCCTTTTTTATGTATTTGGTCTTCCAGCTGTATCTTTTTCAAGTTTTTTTCTCGAATATTTTGTACGCTTTTACCCAAAACTTGTCGAAATAACAACAAATTCGACGAATGTCAAGCCGGTTAATTTTATACGTAGAACTATAGAAAATTGCTTTGTTCCTTTGGTCTATTCCTTCTTACTTTCAGGTAAATTTTGTATTTTAAAAGCTCTCAGTATAATTTTGTGTATATATTTGGCTAAAAAGCAGTCTGTGATGAAGAAATCATAGTTTATGGCTCCCATAACAAAAATTTCTAAATTTAATAGGAAGGCCTCATCTACATTTTCCTAAGTTTACGTAAAATACTCTTTGTTCGTTGAAGGAGGACGATAGGCACCTGATATTAATGTAGGGCGCTTAGACTTATGCGGATATTAAACTTCAAACCACAATATTTCAATATGTTCAGCTTAAGATTTAAATCCCCCAACATAAGATCGATTTAATTATTTAGAATCGTTTTTACGCATAGCGTTCACAGGTTGTGTGTTAGCTGCATCGAAGTTATAAATTTATAGTTTCAACTGAGACAGAATAATCAAGGCATAAACTTACAGTTATCACCAAACTACACGTCCGACCGCCATGACTGACGATTAGTCATATCGAATCATGTCTCCACTAGTCATATAAATCCGCAATAATGAATTTCACTACATAGGAGTAAGAATTACAGTGCAAGCAAAGCTAGTTTTCATTATCGTTTCCTTGTTTATTTTATCTGATTTTTATTGCAATTGTGCCAAAGAAATATTGTACTCGTTGATTGACGATAATAACAATAACACAAATTAACCAGCATTATACCATGGCGTAACACTGATACTTTAATATGAGCGTTACTATAGTTTGTATGTTGTTACAGATTTTTATTATTTTTTAAATTTTAATTTATTGATTATCGTACGCTTTTTTCCACAGAATGACGTTTATTTGTTTGTTATCAGCAACCACTCTAGTTCTTGCAGGTAAAAAGTAATTATTTGTTTAGCATTAAGATTCGGCTAGAATTTAGACCTAAACGGTACTTTTTTGAGAAGTTTCCGACAGAATAAAGTCAATTTTTTTCTGAAAGTGAACTTGAAATTTCACGTTTTTAGAACAGTCATGCATGGCAAAAAAAAGAGCGCATTCTTCGAAAGAACATTATTTGTAGATTAATTAAGTCGAGAATTAAGTTGTTTACAACGCTATTTATATTGAACATTTAAAAACGCACGATTTAAAATTTCTGTAAACAATTTTTGTCAAAGATTGAACAATAACAACACATTTTCGATTTCGATAATATAGGCCTATCAATAGTCGAAAACAGAGCACATTAAATATAGTCCAGGTTCACAGGGACCGCTTGTCCCTGTTAATGCTCTTAACATTCTCTTGACTATCAGCTTAAGTCTCCTAGAAATTTAACAGGGAGGGGGTGTTACATTCCAACACCCCTTGGTTGCAACTATCTAGATGCATGTTTGGAACATTACAACTCGATATACTTTGCAATACTGAAGGGATAGACTTTATTAAGTTATGTATTGTTCCACCGGTAGGATTGTTGGTCAGTTTGAGTGATGCTGATGTATTCCTTCACAATCCCAGAGGTTCTAATAACCGCCTAAATAAAGCTGGGGCCGCTAGAGCAAATAACAATCGATTGTTCGACTCTCAGGTGAGTTTCAAATCTAGAATTATCCGAGTTTCCTCCATTCAAACAATCATGTTAACATTAATGCAAATTTAACTGGAGAAATAAAAAAATGAGCCCACGTAGTGATCACGATATCTCCATTACCTGCATGTATCGCCATGTTCCTGGCCAAGATATTAGAAGATAAATATATCAGTTAGTTAGTTATGTGACATCTGTACACTCAATGTATTTATACTGGAACGATATGTGTTGAAGCCAAACTAAAATGCATACGTTCACAATAAGTCAAAGTTTAAAATAAGTTAATTGACTAAAAAAAAACCCTTTTAACCAAATCAGATTGGGGGGGGGGGGATCCGGGCGTGCGGAGGAGGCGGAAAGTGCCTCCTCTGATTTTAAAAGTTAATATCTCCTAAACCAGTACAGGTATGGTTCTGAATTTTAACGACTTTCCTAAATATTTATGGGCCTTATGTGTGGAACGTTTGTTGAAAACATATTACGCAAAAAAGTTACAGCGTAAATTTAATAGGTACGTTAGCGTATGTTAATAGTCACAATAATAGTACTTTTTAATAAAGGACTTTTTAATAAAGAGAAACTATATTTTTTACATGCTACCTTTTTATCTCAACAAAACAGCTAAAACTAACAATAAGGAAAATAATTTTAATATTCTATAAATCCGGTTTTGCAATTAATGACGTCATAAATTCCTGCCATGACTACATAAGTATAACAATATACCTGAACAAGGCATAACAATCTCCTGTAACAGTTTTGTCGGAATACACCGAATGGTTCCGGAAATATTGACCGCAGTAGTAATAGACCCCACTCTGTAGTTCAAAGGGATGCCGCCAATGATGTCACAATAACATCGCATTGCCAAGTCCCGTTACTATACGTCCCAATTGATTGTGTTACATGGTTACGGTACCTGTCACAGAACTCAGTCTCGTTACCATACGTTACATTAGGTTGCGTTAGCAAGTCCCGTTACCGATTTACATCACAATAGAGTTGCCTTGGCAGCCTGACTTGTGGGCATAAATTTGAACAAGAATTTAGATTTAAGATACATTTATTTCTTCAAAACGTTTACAAAGTTATACTTCAAATATATATCGTCACTTGTTCGGGAAAATTCGCTATCGGATTCATCAAAGTTACTGCTTTCATCTTCCGTAATCCTTCTGGTAGGTCTTGTGTCTGCTAGATGAGAGCACAGTTTTAGCCGTTTGCTAGATGATAGATTACTGCGTTGACCTCGTCTTCTTTTCTTGCTTCCGCGGTTCGTTTGACGGCAATAGAGTCTTTGCTCCTTGTTCGGCAAAATCTCAGACAACTTCTTCTCCGAGGGTTTTTACAGACCTTGACACTTTTACGCCTTCCAGAATTTCTTGATCGACTTCTGTTGTAGCTTGTAATGCTCTTTTTCAACAATTTTAACGCCATCTTTGAATAAAGGAATAGCAAACCGTGCGTAACTACTATGGGTTCAGATCGTCCGAACCCGGGGTCCCAGACCCCAATGGGCCAAATTGGGGCCCCTACGCTCAGGCTGTATAGCAAAAACATTGGCCAGCTAGGGCTTCTGATATGTTACAATATCGTTTTCTGACCATCAGAATTCTGTAGAATCTCTCCCCAAAGTTCGGCAAATGGCATTTCAGAGACTCTAGATTCAAAAATTTTCCGGTGAGCATGGCCTGCACCCCCTAGAAAACTGGTGCATATACGGCGCTCGAATCGTGCATTTGGCACTTCTACTTGAGGCGCCTTCGAAAATTTTGAACCGGAGGCCCCCGGATATAACGTTACGCCACTGAACTTTGCAAGACAAAATTCCACCGAGTCCATAACTTCTTTGAAATCGTGCACCACGATACCCAATTATATTTCCACCAAGTTGCTGTCTCAAGTAATGGTCTGGCATATTGATGTGTTCAGTTCAACTTCACATAGTTGACTGACCAAATACCATTTGCTCACTTATTTTCTGGTCAATAAAGTGTCGTTTATCAGTACTAACATTCATAATTTCATCACAATGGCAATGTGGACAGCTGGCGATTGCATGCGTGCAATACGTTGTTACAGCTGTTTTATCCACGCCTTCAGACCCATCATTAGACTTGGATCAAGTCCGTCTCTCTAGAGTCCGAGGAAGAGCGCGAGGTGCCATAACGCGGGAAAGTTTGAGGGAGAAGACGGACTTGGCTCACCTGCAAGCACGCCAAATTTACCGACCCGTTTTTCCGTCGGTAACGCGTCATAACTAGATTGCAATAATTTATGCTAATTGCAATAGAGCGGATATAACAAAGTATCTTGTTTCAAAAATGTATAGCGTGCTGTCCATAGATATGGTGCTGTCTCTCTTCGTGTCCGGTTTAGTTTATACTTAAATGATGAATACGTTTTAAGAAGGTTATTGATATGACTATACTATATAAAACTGCACAACTAGTGTCACACTATTATTTTTTTTTACTTATATTAAGTGTCACGGCAAACTTCATGATCACACGAAATTTTGATACAGTCAGGGATATTTTGTTCAGGACAAATTTTGTGCATATAGTCATAATAACTAACTAGAAGAGTCTATAGATACGATTTGATAAAAAGTGTATCTTTAAATATAAGGCTTATAGTTGTATATTAAAGGCGTATTTTAGTTTCGATCGCGACGGGTATTTTAATAATTTTGCCCTGACACTTGCGGTTTCGTATTTGTAACAAAACCGCTAAATTAATAACACCTGTCTATTAACATAATTCCCGCCAAAATAATAAATCTGATTCGAAACATTGCAGGTGAGCCAAGTCCGTCTCTTTCTCCTCTCTTGCACCTCGCGCGCCGCTTCGCGGCGCGCTCGATCTCGTCGCTTCGCGACTCCAACTCTAGAGAGACGGACTTGATCCAAGTCTAACCCATCATCGGATTCGTCAGAATGTGTATCCATATCCTGCCGTGACTACTTGTGAGATAACATTGAAAGGACCCTTCCATTTACGATTAGGCTTTTATCTATTTGAAATTCTGCAAGACCTAATTTAAAAAAATATTTAATTCAGCTGGTTCTGGAATTTCAGAATTGTAACAGTACCAAAACAGTATATTGTAACAATATACTGTTTCAGAATTGAAACAGTATATTGCAAAATATCTACAATGTTTGTTGTACATATATTCTGCCCTATGTATACAATTTCTCTTTGAAGATTCCATGTGAGACTATCGCTGGGTGTAAGAATGCAGCGAAGCATTCTTCAGCATTTTTTTATCAACATTGACGTGTAAGTGTCCAAGTATATCTTCAACGCGCCAATGTCTCGGAGATGTTCTTTCCTTGCTGTCCATGGTTGGAATGACGATATGAATTAATGATGATTATATATTTTATACCAATTCAGCAAGGCCCCTAAAAGTGACTCAAGTACTAATTCTAGAAAGCCATGCACTACCCGCGCTGAACAATTATTTCCCTTTTCGTTCTAAAACTTCTACTTCTGTTCGCTAATTCAGCGAGATCTTCTTTAAATAGTCAAAGTGTGTGCAATGTTCCTTTAGGATATGTAAAGTTATCCATGCAATTATATAGAAAGCGAATCTGTTCATGAGATGCGGAATTCAACAGAGCTTTCTGTTGAATTGGACGAGAAATACACAAGAACTCCACAAACAGTCTGTGTTTGGTAAAACTACTTGTCATCTATATTTGACGATCAATAACAGAATGAAGACCTGATTTGACCGAACACGAGCGCTATGATCGTTTTTTTACTAAAGGAAACGTGCATAATAATGAATGTGATGTTGCAATCATCACAGAATCATGGCTTTCGTCAAACATTACGAATGATCTCATTAAGATCCCCGGATTTTCAAGTATTCGCAAAGACCGATGTGACGATCAAGTGGTGGTGGACTCTGCACCTACATCAGAAATACATTGGACTTCCTAGAATTAAAAGACTTATCTCACCCCGACATTGAATCACAGTGGTTCTTGATAAAACCAAAAAGACTTCCAAGAGGAATTGATGCAATTGTAGTAGCCTCTGTATACCGCCCTCCACAAAATAACGATTCAACACTAAGGAACCATCTATTTGAATCCCTAGACAACGCCCTCATCAATTTTCCAAACGCAGGCATCGTCTTGTTAGGGGACTTTAACCAGTTTAAACCTGGATCATTAACTTCATCCTTTAATCTTAAACAAGTTGTGAAACGACCCACCCGTGGTAACAATATCCTTGACAAGATTTACACTACCCTTTCGAAGCATTACATTGATGCCATTATACTCCCATGCATTGGACAATCTGATCACCAAAGTGTTCTCCTCAACCCGACTAAACAAAGTCCGAAGTCACTCAAGTCTTATACCCCCTCCTACATTACTAAAAGAGACTGTCGACCCGCAAACAAACAAGCCCTAATCACCACCTTATCCCAAATCAACTGGACCCCACTTTACCACGTAACTGCTCTAGATGATCAATTCAACCTATTCTCGAACAAACTATCCTCTGTTATCGATAGTCACCTCCCTCTGCGCACCATAAAGTGTTACCCTAAAGATAAACCATGGATCACTGCAGATATAAAAAAAATCATTTCTAAAAGGCAGAAAGCTTGGTTAACCAGCGACACTATCATGTATAACGTTTATCGTAACAAAGTTAGAAAACTATGTAAATCTGCTCGTCAGTCCTACTACGATAAGAAAATCCTTAATACCAGTGAATCTAACCCAAAAAAATGGTACGCTAACATCAAGTCTATTTCTGGTCTATCTAAATCGGAACCTTTTTCGAGCATCTTCCATGATGGTGAGTTCAAAAGAGGTCCTGAGCTTGCTGAACTAATTGCCGAATCTTTCTGTGCTGTTTCAAACGAATTGGCCCCACTCTGCTTCAATAAGCTTCACATTACATCTGTTCCTGATGAGTACATAATATCAACCCAAGAAGTTGAAATCGAATTGGAAAAGATCAGTCTTCAGAAAGCAATTGGCCCCGACGATATCCCCAACTGGGTACTGAAATCAGCTGCACCGTTGCTCGCTGGTCCAATATGTTCCATCTTCAATGCCAGTATTGCACAAGGTTGCATCCCGACACTCTGGAAATCAGCAGACGTTATCCCAGCGCCAAAAATATCTAATCCCAAATCAGTTGATAGCGACCTAAGACCTATTTCTCTCACACCGGTGCTGAGTAAAGTATTGGAAAGCTTTGTTTTTCGGTGGCTTTTTGGTTATATTAAACCATCAATCGACCCGCTCCAGTTCGGAAATATGAAAAATTGCTCCACCACACACGCTCTTATCCACATGATCCATAACTGGCTAGCCGAATTAGAAAACCCTGGTTCAACTATCAGATGTTGTATGATTGACTTTTTGAAAGCCTTTGATCGCATCGATCACAATATTTTACTTCATAAATTACAACAACTCAACATCCCTCCTATCTTGTTGAATTGGTGCGCTGAGTTCCTGCATGACCGATATTTACGTGTCAAGCTTGGCCAGAATAAATCAACATGGCGACAAATAAATGCATGGGTTCCACAAGGTACAAAACTTGGACCCCTCTTTTTCCTTGTGATGATAAATGACTTGCAAACCAACACTCCAATGTACAAATATGTCGATGATTGCTCCACATACGAAATCGTTTCAAGATCGTCCCCTACTTCATGGCTTCAAGCTAATATAAACACTATAAATGACTGGACCAATCACAACAACATGCGGCTTAATGTATCTAAAACCAAAGAACTGCGTATATCCTTTCTTAGAGTCCCTATGGTATTCGATGCCCTCTCGTCATCTGGTTTAAACATAGAAATCGTCCAGACCTTCAAACTTCTGGGAGTGATAATATCATCGGATCTTACCTGGAATGCGCACATTGATTACATCTGCACCAAAGCAAGTAAACGTCTTTATACTCTAAGGATCCTCAAACGATCTGGTGCCCCAGCCAATGATTTAATAACGGTCTTTTGTGCATTTATTCGTCCAGTTTTGGAATACGCCTCACCTGTATGGCATTTTTCTCTCCCTCAATTCCTCGCTGATCAAATCGAGAGTATACAAAAACGTGCATTGAAAATCGCTTTCCCCCAGTCCTCCTATACTACCTCACTAAGAAACACTGGCCTTCTTACACTTTACCAGCGAAGAGAGAATCAGTGCTTGTCATTCTATAAGAATATCCATCAACACTCAGACGATAAGTTGAGAACGCTACTTCCCAGTGCTATATCTCACAAATTCAGTCTAAGAAATAAACGCACTTATCCTATGTATAAGTGCAAAACTGAACGATATAAGAACAGTTTTATCCCAAAGTGTGTTAGAAACTGGGACCGACCATAGACATAACAAAATATTTTATAGTACATATCATTAATATAGTTTATATTATAGTAGTTTTAAATTGAACTTTTTGCAAATTTAAAAATTTTAATACTATCTATGTAATATCACGTTTTTTAAATTTTTATTAATTTACAATGTGGTAATTATTAAAATCAATCAATCAATCAATATTTCAATGAAACCTGAAGATGTTGCAAGATTATCACGTGAAGATAGACAAGAGTACGAGGACTCTTTAAAGATTCAAAAGACACCTAAACGATACGCTCTTAGAAGCAGACCTAATTAAATTTTGTAAAACGTTTTGAAGAAATAAATGTGTTTTCAATCAAATTCTTGTGTAAATTTATGGCCGCAAAGCTACGATGCCGCCCGATTTTAAGGTCTACGCCCGCGTTATAAATCTATCCACAATAATTCTTTAACGACTGTTAATGACTTTGGCATCACACATTTTAGATGTTAACAAGACAGAATTTCGATATAGCTAAAATAAAACCCACAACGTATACTAACCCCAATGCAACCATAAGGAAAAGTATGTTCATATGCTCGCTGGGTGAAATAAAAATGGAGTAGGCAGATTAATTATTATGAAATGCCAATATTGACCATACTTAGCGACTGCTAAATTCAGTTTAAGATTTTTCGTATATATGTCTCGATATTTTTCCTGCTTGGACAATAAAAAACGGCTCATTGAAATTAGAAGCCACCAAATAAATTGTTGAAAATAAATTTACCAAGAGTTTGTCTACTTGTCGCCTAATGATTTAGCAACACATAGCAACACAACACAGTCCATTGGAGAACCCTTTTTTCTGTATAGAACACAGACGAGTGCTGAAACATGAGACCTTTAAGTTAATCTAACACGCCTACAGTATAAGAACACGACATTTACTAAGCGAGAGTTTATCGAAAAGATTTGGTACGCCAGCGTTAGTCACGGATATATTTCCAAAGAATACGACCTATTGGGAAAGTTTCTCGACGAGATGAGAGTTATTCTATAAAAACCCATTGTCATATCTGATCTTGATCAGTTCAAACAAACATGTCTTGGAGGAGCATCGGAACCCATTGGCTTTCGAAAAAAACTATTGATATCGCAACAGAAAAATCATACAATCATAGATTTTCTGCGACAGATGGTGCAAGCAAACATGCTACCCGCAACGCTTATCAACAACCCGACGCTGCATTCGTTTATGCATGCTAACGCAAGTGATATTAGAAACAATGACGAGTTTAACGGTGCCCGCAGTCCCACAGGGGAACAACTTTATCTATCGAATAACCGCCTTGGAGATGATGATGAGGAACATATTGGCACAAAAAATGAAAAGCACATCATGACGTTGAAAGAACATACGGGGGTGAATTTGGACCTATTACCATAAACCAAAAATCTAAAATTAACGGATTTAGATTTCAAACGACTTGTAAAATTTTACTTCAAACTGTTAAAATTACCTACATAGTTAATATCCATAAGGTCATGTTTTGTAATCGCCCACAATTACACGCTTATTATAAACAATACGATAGTCCTTTTCCATGCGTTTCGTTTCAATGTTTTTTTGTCTCTGTGTTGAAAATACCTAGTTTTTGCCTGTTTTTGAGTAAGGTTTAAAGACACAATACAAACGGTGACGACACTGAGTTCTGTGACCGGTAACGAAGCCCAGAAACGCAACGTAAGGCGACGTATGATAACGCGACTTGATAACCCGGCGCTATTGTGACGTCATTAGCAGCATCCCTTTGAACTTCAGAGAGGGTCTATTAATGCTGACCGCGGGCACTTTTCCTCCCACCCCACCCTCCCCTCGGCAAACCCAGAAAGGCCCAGTCAGGATCGGGTCAAATATCTGTTGAAACTGTACATAATATCTGATCCTCTAGTGTATTGTTATGGCTTTCACACACTTTTTTAAACTAAACTTTAATTACTTGGGAAAAAAAACGGGGAAATTTTTGCTGCTTGAACAAAACAGAGGGTTGAATACTTGGCTATGCAAAAATATTATTGCTTTTCAAAAATCAAGGACATATAACTTGGACGTTATATTTTCCCTGTTTAGTAACAAGTCTAAGGTTTTGAACATTTTGAAAAACACTGATACGTAACATCAACACGTTCGTGAGAAACCGGTCACATGCATATGTGCGCACTTTCTGATTGTCAAGTATGCACGTGCGATATAAAAATACTGGCGTCTTTCATTTCAATTCAGTCACTCAAAAACTACTTCGCCGGCTATAGCTTGTGTTAAAAAGCAACAAATTTTCCACGTGCATGGAAAATGACGTCTGACTAAAACGTACAATTACTTTACCAACAACTGTAGGGAGCCTCCTTAGAGGTAATTTTTAGGGGTTTTTGTGAAAAAATGGAAATAGAATGGCTCGGCGATCAACAGGGCAAAAACAAATGTCTAATTACATGAAACACGGGGAAGTTATCCAACTTAATTAAATCCATGCTCTCGATCTGAGTAGAAGGCTTAACACAGACGTAAGGGACAGGGCACTAATCAGTGCCGGATCTACTGGTGTGAGTAAAAACCAACCTAAGAATAGTAAAAACCAACTTGCGGGGACCCTGGAATTCTGGAATTGCGGAACGTGTTAACTATTAAGGAATTTTCTGGAAAATTGAGGTCAAAAAAGGTCGGAAAACTACATTTTGGCTCCCATTATGTAAAACTAGTGTTCGAAATTTTTTGGGACGTTTTACTGCTCGGCACGGCCCTGGCGTTCTGCTCTGCCATTCGGCCGGTTTTGCGTTGTCCGATGTAGACAACTATATGATGCTACGTTTTCATATATTTCTAGAACAACGCTAATGGTGGTTACAATGTGGGCGACAAAGATCAAAAATCAAACAGCGAGGAGACCCAATTTAACATGGTACGTAAAAACTGAGATTTTGGTAGCATCTCAGTCGTTTCATTAATAGTCGAGGTCTCGATGAAGATACATGTGCTCGAGCTCTTGAAAACGGACCTATCCCGAAAGGCGACTCTAGGGACATTTTTCTCACCCGGTACGACGGCAAAATTTGTCTCACCCGGACCAACGCTGCCGGTACATAACGTGTTTATTTTTTCTCAGATATAAAATTAAATTCATTGAAATTCTTGTGTTAAGTTGCACGAAAACTCGAAAAAAAAAGGCTACGAAACATTCACAAAGACATATAGTTTCAGTAAAAATGTCAGTATATCATGATGAATGTGGTAGCAGAAAATCATTGGTGCTGCCGAGCGCAGCGAGGCTGCACACAATTCTTAACGTGCTATTGTTTCTCCAGAGTCCACTCGACCTAGTCGTTTCGCGCGATCTATGTATTGTCGAAATCTCGATTTTGTGTCTGTCCGGATTTCGTATTTACGGGGAATAGTTAAAGCTTCAGGACTTTTTTTTTTAAACGAGGGGGGCAGTCAAACTTTATTTTGTATTGCGCACGCACGATTCTTCTCAGGATTTCAGTTAATACGAGTTTATTTATATGCAGTTTGTTTGATTTTCACGAATAAATCAGGTAAGGATGGCTTTATATCTTTCTGGTGATATACATGAAGGCATTTATATTTACATAATGCTGTTTTGATATAGTATACTTTAGAAGTATTGAAACAATATGATTTCATAAATTTATGGTCATTTATCGGCGGTTGAACAAAAAATGATAAAAAATGCACACCGCACAGGAGAAAATTGTAAGTCGTGTAAGCGAATTTATCTCTTAATAGCAAACATATTAAAATAGTGCAATTAGTGAATTATAACAAACAAGACGCTCTACGGAGCGTTAATAACTCGCTGGGGCTACACTAGACTTGGTTGAAGTTTTAAGCTTTTCCCCGAGCTAAGCGGAAAAGTCGAATACTGGCGCGAAAGGCTTAACACAGTACTAAAATGCGGTAGGCCCTACAAGTAAAGTTATATTTAGTACGCTACATTCTATTTCTTCAAGACTGTCAGCCGCCAGTTGGTCCATACGCTAGGATTAAACTGCGCTTTAAAACGTTCAAAATAAAATATTTTGGGGCTTAATTTTGGGCTCAAAATGAAGAGAGAAGTGAGACGAATCCGCTGGTATACGGCCGAAAAAGAGAAAACCAATGATGCCAAAGGCAAAGTTAATATCAAGGTCAAGGATCAAACATACTGCATTTTTTTATAATTAGTTTAATAATTTTGAGCGATTTGTCAATTCAATACAATACAATTTCGATTGTGTACTCAGGTGTTTCCTCATGAATTATTAATGAGTTTTTGAAGCTATTATAGACAACTGTCACAACACAGAGCTTTTTTCTTTTAAAAGGCTCCTGAACCACGTTTGTTTAACGTATCCTTCCGTATAACAAATAACAGTTGAAATGTTATTCTTAAAATCATCATCCAACCTCATAGCTGCAATGCCAAGTGATGTAGCCTTAACTATCTGGTCTTGAATTATACTTTAAAGTGAACAAATAACAAGACAACTATAAGAAATATTCGATCCCTGCTCGAGCAAGCTTTGATTTGTCGATATAAATGTATAATTGAAAGACCAAACTTTTCCGTATTCCGTAGGAAGAATTGCTATAACCGGCGTCTTCAACACGTAGCAAATTAATAATGTACTTTCTCTGTTCTGGTTTCAACAGAATTTCGAAGAGTAAATACTTGAAATAAAAGAAAGAGTTTCCTCGAAAGCATTAACAGGCGGCATATTTTCGATACGCGAGCAAAATTATTCTTGACATTTGAGATACGTAATTACTTCCGTTAACGAGTTTGACCAATGAGAAGCTTTTCCAAATTTCTTCGGTCAAAAATACATTTGTCATAGGCATTTGGGCAGGCGTTTATTTAACGACGCCCTTTCTCCTCCCGCCCGCACTAAACGCCTGCTACGCAGGCTGACGGTGTTTCGAATCGGTGGGTGGTCATCCTCAAAGATCTCATAATATAGCTGACTGTCATGATTAGCCAACACTGATTGGTCCAATTGAATATTTGCATTATAACGACTGCATGACGACAGCGAAATAGGAAGCATTTGTTGATTTGATGATTTCCAATCTTGCAAATATATTTCTTTTGTGCAAAATTTTGTAAATTTCAAAAGCTCTTTGATAAAATAAAGGCGAAAGAATCGCTAAAAGGAGGGAGTAAAGGCACCGACGTTAACGAAAGTAAGCCTGTTTTAAATATTAATGTATTATTTGCTTTTAATTATAATTGCTTTAAAAGCCAATCGTTGCGTATAATGAAACAAGACAGCATATATTAATTCCAGTGCCTCTTTATTGATTGTCCTATTTTATTATATTAAATCTTTTAATTAAATACAAAAAGCAAAGTTATTTGAATGCGAGAAGTTGAAATAATTTTATTTCAAACTCTAACTTTACTGATCGATAAAAGGCAGTTTAGTTTTATATTAATTAAAGGAACACTTTAAAACGCTTTGCGAAGCGTTCGTGGTTGAATTTTACCTTAAATTGAAGCTTATATTACATATAATAACATACCTAACATATAGTCTATATATGTTTGGGGCATTGATAATTTCGTAAATAAAAGTGATAATTTTAGGGGATTTTCCATTTGTAATAATATTCTTTAAAAATTATCGTGTTACCATGACAACTACTTTAAATACTTCATGTTTGGAAAATACAATGGTTTTGTCGCCAAGGCGAGGGTTTCTGCATGCATGTATTTTTTAGTTTAAAACTGCATGTTTCACTCCTTGGTTTTTTCGCGAAAATCACAGCAAGCAAAAGACCGGGCCGCTCTGAAAGGCTCCTTAACCAATCAGATTGCTTTATTTTCACTGATAAAAAAAAGAGTTCCCGTAACTAAAATAGCTGTAAGCAAAACAGTATTTGCAAGCATAATTTTAGCAATTTTATGTACGAGAAATGGCTTTAAGGAATACCTCTACACACCGTCCGGCCGGTGGCAAAGCTAGCCATAGAATGCAATGCAAACTTTAAATTATTTAAATTACTGATTCGAACCTTTAGAATTGTATTGTCTTTGTATAGACTATCTAAGGGCCTGTTTATATGGGAGCCGGGCTGGCCCGCTTGGCGAGACAGCCCGGTAAGCGGGATGAATTTCTCTTGTGCTTATATGAGAAAATTTCATCCCGCTTGCTGGGACAATTTTGTTACATTAATGTTGTTTCGACAGTTGCTAAAAAGAGGTACACGACGCGTACATGTATCTGCGAAAAAAACTTGATTCACATTTTGTATTTTCTTGGGGGAAACTGAATAATGAACATGATATGGGACAATTGAAATATTTCATCACTTATTATAATGGCAGATAAGATTTAAAATAGGGCTGTACACAGCGGGGAGTGCAGCAGGGCAAGTGCTACCCCCCCCCCCACTCCACCCCAGCACCGAGAAAATTTAACTAAGTTTATAATGTGATTATGATTCTAACTGATAATTATGCAGTCAGGAAATAAAAATTTCATGCAAACAATATTCAAAGTGTCTACACAGCCGGCTATTTAGTAAACTGTCACCTGTCAGTTCAATCCATACTTATCAAAACTTTATTGTAACATATGAAGCAAAAGTTATGTCACTTGTTGTTTACACTTGCCAATGTTAACTGTTGACTAACATACACAAAATATTTTGTGAACATGTCGAAGACCACTGAATAATTGAGAATGTTTTGAAGGTCATGAGTGAAGTATATAATTAAATTCCAGTTCTGTGCACAGTTAATGATATACCACACTGTTTGGTTTTACACGTACAACACATTCACTCAAAAACAATCATGTTGTGGGAGATTATCGGTTTGAGTAGAAGGTATCACAAGTTTAGTTTTGTACATTGTGTGCCATTGATCAAATCCACCATATATTATATGATTACTCATTGTAGCTGTTAAGTTATTTTCCATACTAATGAACTTATGTAAGATTGTCTTGTAAGTTGGTTGTTCTGACAAAATTATCCAGCCAATATCCAGTACATTTATTCTTCATTCTTGTATTAATCTCTAAAGAAAAATATTTATGTTAGAAAGCAAAATGACAATGTAATGAGGCTCGGGAGGGTGAGGATTCTTTTATTTGAAAATGTTTGTAAAAATTTTGTTTAATTAACTCTAATGTGTAAAACCAAAATGTATAAGTAATTTAACTGATAACATCTTCAATCTTTGCTCTAACACTACATTTAATGACAGCTTTATAGTTGGACTGTTGTTTTGAACAGAGTTATGGAGTCAATATACAGAAATACATGACCAGGATTTAATTCAATATCTCCTGAGACTGTTTAAAATATTACAGAAGTTACAGAAGGATTGTTTTTAATACTGTTATAAATCTTTTTGTGAACTATGTTGAGAAATGGCTTAAAATATCCTCGAAAATATCCAATATTTTAACAGTGTAATATATTAATAAAAAAAATTTCCACAGTGCATTCCATGTAAACTCTACGCCGAAGATACGGCAATATTAACTATAGATAGCATAGTAAATATTTGCCGAACTGGCGAACTCTTGTATTATAAAACTTATAAAATATGTGGGACATACATTTGCACAAATTTGGTATTTAAATATATAATATGTGGTATTTAACTACTTACCAGATGAGGATAAGATTCCATGTTGATAAATAACTTCGGAATAAAATCGCAAGTAGAATGGCGAGAAAAGTCAGAAAACAAGACGGCCAATTCAAGATAAATTGATAAAAATATCAAGATATTTTTGAAAGAATATAAAACACGATTTATACACGAGGCCTGACGAGGCTAAAGTATGCCCGTTCGCAGGTTAGATCAGCGGGCACGATGTAAACAATTGATGTAAGGGGCCATTAACAAAGGATGTCCGAGCGAAAGGGAGGAGCTCAAGGGGGCTTTGGAAAATCAGGACAAACTCGGACATATGGGGGGGGGGGAGGGGGGGTTAGCAATCCGGATGTTCGAAATTTTAAAAAATTAAAAACAAATTTCTTTTTCCCTCTATTTTGAGCAGTCCTTCTCATTGTGAAATTGGCATTTTGACTGTGCGGTTAACACTAGATTTTGTTTAAATTAGTAATTTATATGTTTTTGTATTCACATTTATAGTTATAAAAAAGTTCCAAAAGTAAAAAAAGTTTTTTACTCTTGACATATTATACAAGGTTGTGTCAGTTTTTGCGAGGCATGGTGGATGTCCGGGGGGAGGGGGTCACTAATTCGGACAATGACGGACAAGGGGGGGAGGGGGGGTTCTGAAAATCCATCATTTGGCCGGACATCCTTTGTGAATGGCCCCTAAACAAATCGCTGACTGGCTTAAATTATATAAGATTGGCTTAAATTATATAAGCTCGTCGCTGAATGGCTACGTGCTAACATACGGTACGGTCACGTTTCCGATAGCATAGGCTATATATCTGCTTCACAGATACAAAAATAGGTACGCGACGCGTACATGTATCTGTGAAAAAGCTTGATTCACATGTTGTATTTTCTTAAAAGGAACTGAATAACGAAGACGACATGGGACAATTGAAATATTTCATCACTTATTATAATATAATAGCAAATAAGATTTTAAAGTCAAACATAATACACATCTAACGGGGCTGTACGCAGTGTGGAGGGCAGCAGGGGCAATCTCCCTCCCCGCCGCCGAAAAAAATTAACTAATATTTATAATGCGATTATGATTGTAACAGATAATTATGCTGTCAGTGTCTATACAGCCGGCAGCCAGCTATTTAGTAAACTGTCACTTGTCAATCCATACTCATAAAGTTTTCAAAACTTTATTGTAATCATATGAAGCAAAAGTTCTGTATCTTGTTGTTTACACTTGGCAATGTTAACTATTGAGTAGCATACACAAACTATTCGAGGAACATGCATTTCTGTAGCAATGAGTCAATCATATATAGAAGATTACTGAATAGTAGAGAATGTTTTGAAAGTCATGAGTGAAGTATATAATACAATTCCAATTCTGTGCATAGTTAAAGTGAAGTCAAGTCCGTAATGTAAACAAACGGTTTGTGTACATTTTGAACTGCTGTATTTTTTAAAACATGATGTACTGTCTGAATATCTAACACCATTTTGGTTCACTATCCTTCTAAATGAATATGAAATTGAGTTTATGTTCAGAAAAATTCGAAGCATTTGAAATTTGGGCAATGTTCACATTAGAGGTCCTCACATTGTTATGAGCAGAACCGATGCGCAGAATGGACTTGACTTCCACTTTAATGATATACCAACACTGTTCGGTTTAACACAGCATATCCTGCAATTGATCCGATCTATCCATATGATATATGATTATTGTAGCGGTTAAATTAAGTTATTTTCCATACTAATGAATTTAGGTAAGATTGACTTGCAAGTGGCCACCATTGTTCTGACAAAATTATCCAGCCAATATCCAATACATTTATTCATCATTCTTGTATCAATCTCTAAACAAAAACATTTATGTTAGAAAGCAAAATGAGGAGGGAGGGTCATTGGTATTACCACCGTGGTATTACTTTACAATAGCATTTGAAAATGTTTGTAAAAATTTTGTTTACAGTAATTTCTACTTTGTGTAAAATCAAAGTGTATACGTATTTTAACTGATAACATCTTAACTTTTGCTCTAACACTACATTTGATGACAGTTTAGTTGGATTGTTGTTTTGAACAGAGTTACAGAAATACAGGACCAGGATTTAGTTCAACATCTCCTGAGAACATTAGTTTCCTTTGATATCGTAATATTGTTCATTGGCAATATTGCCCGACTTGCCTGCTATGTTTTGACTGTTTAAAATATTACACAATGATTGTTTTACCGTATATTAAAATGTACATAATAAAATATGTGGTATTTGACATTTTGACTACTTACCAGATGAGGATAAGTTTCCATGTTGATAATAGAATGGCAAGAAAATAAGACAAAAAGATATATTTTTGAAAATCCAAAATGGCGAGAATATCTGAATAATTAATAACACGAGGGCAGACCATGCCCGTTCGCAGGTTAGATGGCGGACACGATGTAACATAATCGCTGTTCGCTTAAATTATATAAGCTCGTCGCTGAATGGCTACCTGCTAACATACGGTACGCTCACGTTTTCGATAGCATATATATCTGCTTCGCAGATAGGCTTCTACAGACTATGCTACGAAAATGCTGAAATTGTGCTCTAAAAATGCTCAAAAGTTGCTCGAAAATTGAATACGTTGTTTCAAAAGTTGCTCGAAAATTGAATAAGTTGCTCAAAAGTTGCTCGAAAATTGAAAAAAAGTTGCTCCTAATTAAAAATGTCAAAAGTTTCTCGTAAAAGAGTGGGTGCAAAGCAAGATATGACCGTATATTAAACACTGTAGAGAAATACAATAATAACAGTTCATAACTAACTATAGTTCATAACTATAAATTGTTATGACAACTTAATAGGTAAAAAGCCATCAAATCAGTTTGAGATGTTTCACAGTACGTTTTACTTCCTTTGACTATTATTATATCTAAGCATTAATGTAACTTGCAGTTTTTGGGGGTTGTTATATGGATGTTTGCAAATATTTCAAGCTGCTGACTGCCATAGGATCTCCTAACTGTAGAAGAAATGGTAAGCTAAAAAGTTTGTCAAATGGCCAAGGATAAGGAAAATAATTTGGAGCTTTGTCGTGCTATTCTTTCATATGACCAAGAAAACGAGCTTGAAGAGAATATGGATCAAGGGATTCAAGACTATCAAGCATTTCATTATCTTTCTATAAATAAAATTAGCAACATGGTCTATATTGCGAGAAATTTCCAAAAATTATGCATTTTCTGGAGGAAGTTGCTTCAAGTTGCTGATATCATAAAAGGTTGCTCCAAATGCAAAAAGTTGCCAAAAAGTTGCCGAGCATAATCTGTAGAAGCCTATTCGCAGATACAAAAATAGCTTGCCGGGCCAGCCCGCTTGTCCATATAAACGCACGATAATTTTTACTATAAAAATAACTACACAGCGAGATCTCGCTTACCGGGCTGTCTCGCTAAGGGGGGCAGCTCGGCTTCCATATAAACAGGCCTTAAGTGTCAAAATGAGACGAGTCAAAATGCTCTTGTCAATCCGCCATTTATTTTGAGGACAAAAGATGTTATTGAGCGAAATAGGAGTATACTGTATACGCATGCATTCTTTGTCTATTATTTCTACGATTTACGCCTTCACTTAAACTATGTGAAAACAGCTTGTAAGAGAAAACGTTTAATTTAAGGCAACACGTACATTAAACAATCAAAAGAAACTTGCCTTATATTTCACGATGTCATATTTCTTGTTTCTGATCAGTGGTGTCAAGTAACGAAGTAAATGTACTTCGTTACTCTACTTGAGTATTATTTTTGAGAATTCAGCATGTAACAAAGTCAACTTTTTCTGGAGTACTTTTACTTGGAACGAAGTCGTTTTAAGAAGTAACGTTTTACTTCGTTATTTTCATTTTGTGAGAATACGCGGAAGTATTTCGTTATTACTTTCTCACATTTGTTTAATTTTATTTGATTAACTCCCGATTTATTTTAATTTTGGAATAGATCATAGGACCTCTACATGCGTCTGAGATCTCTCTTTGGTGGCTTATTTATAGGCATTATTTATTTAATGAATTTCTTATATATCTTCAACCGGCCGTGAAATACATATATGTTATTTACCGGCTGCGAGGTCCGTACTGAAAAAATAATTTCCCGAGGTCTCAGAAGCGGCCCGAGTCTGAAGGCCGAGGGGCGCTTCTGAGGCCGAGGGAAAATATATTTTTGGTACGGACCGACCAAAACGGTAAATAACGTGTTTATTTTTTTATTTGATAGTTCATCATAATTCCGATAAAATTCCAGTTCCAAAGTACATTTGAGATCAGTTGCGTTAATTGTTACTTTAGTGCAAGCATGGCTGACAAACTGCTAAAACGACGGAATTAAAGCTGGTTAAAATGCTTTTAGTTTCATTGCAATAGATGCTTTATCTACTCAACAAGAAAACAGAAGGTAAACAAAGTAAAAATATTTATTTTCCGATTCGTTTTGCGGCATGGACATGCTTGAAAAATGCTTTTTGACAGACAAATACAAATTTTAGTTGCCGAAAAACAATTTGTTCTTTACAACATTTACTAGAAAATATATGCATGCAGAAACCCTCGCCTTGTTGTCAAAACCATTGTATTTTCCGAACATGAAGTATGTGCATAATAAATCTTTCTTTCTTTCTTCCTTTCTAAAGTAGTTGCCATGGTAACACGATAATTTTTCAAGAATATTCTTACAAAATACGAATGAAAAATCGCTTAAAAATATTACTTTTAATTACAAGATTATCAATTTCCCAACATATATATGTTAGGTATGATATTATACGTAATATAAGCTTCGATTTAAGGTAAAATTCAACCACAAACGCTTCGCAAAACGTTTTAAAGTATACTTTATAAAACTAAACTGCCTCTATTCTTTAACTAAATAGCTTTATCGATAAACTTTGAGTTTACAATAAAATGATTTCAAATTCTAGCATGCAAATAACTTTGCTTTCTTTTTTATTTAAAAAAATTCAATATAATAAAAAAGGGAATCAATATTAAAGATATACTGAAATGGGGCCCGATATGCTGTCTTGTTTAGTTGTTTCATATACGCAAAGGCCGTCGGGTTTTAAAGCAATTATAAAATCAATATTTAAAACAAACTTACCTTCGTTAACGTCGGCACCCTTCTTTTAGCCGATTCTTTCGCCAATTCTTTCTTGAAATTTACAAAATATTGCAAAAATGCGAGCAAAAACGAAATATATTTGCAAGAAATTTATCAATCATCAAATAAAGAAATGTTTGCTATTTCGCTGTCTTCATGCATTCGTTAGTTATAATGCAAACTTTAAATTGGACCAATCACAGTGTTTGCTACTCATGACAGTCCGCCATATTTTTGAGATCAGTGAGGATGACCACCCACGGTTGGTGACCCACGCCCGTGATATTTGATGAACTTTAGACTTCGCTAATGCTTTCGTTTCCCCGGGTGTAAATAGCCGGGGAGAATTAGTACCCTCGCACGGCGCTTCGCGCCGTCGGCTCGGGGATAAAAACAATTTTGCCCGAATAAGCCCAGAAATCGTCTTTAAAACTGCCAGTTAAGGTTGTTTTTTTAAATTTTATGCTTAAGGACAAGTTGTACGTTGTATTATTTATATTTATGCGTATATTAATTTTCGAAGAATAGCTGAACATATGTAGAACATTTGTATTAAAACATGTAGCACTGGCAAGTGTTTTTCGATATATATATTTAGTTTTTTTTCGCAGTTTGGTCGGGGAATAGTGCATTTCGAGCTTGGCACTAAGCCCACTGAAGCCAATTCACTGTACTTTACGGTCTTTAATTTTGTATCGATAGGTTGGATTTTTAAACTTTTTAGGTAGTGTTTTGAGTTTGAAAATTGTCTTCACTCCTCGGTTTTTCGCGAAAAAATAACTCTTTTGGACCACGGTCAAGATATCGTAAAAAGCTGCACGCTGCTGCAGCCAATCAGATTGCAAGAAATCAAAAAATATCACTAGGCATGCACAAATAAAAAATAATGTATATTATTGTGCACGCATATAATGCATGTGCTGTTTTGTTTCTTTTGTATGTCAATCCATGGTCATCGGAGGAGTCCCCCCCCCACACGCTGTAGACAATAGTACTTTCACTTTTACTTTGTACTTCAAATATTTTTTAAGGATTCTTTGTACTTTTTACTTAAGTACGTTTCGCCTCCAGTACTTTTTACTCTTACTCAAGTTGTTTTATTGTTAATTACTTCTACTTTTACTTGAGTACAAATTCAAAGTAATTTATAAGCATCACTGTTTCTGATGTTCCTCTGAGTGCAAGTATATCCACACCGGCCCGGCTGAAAAGTTTGCCTGATTACGCTGGATATACACTCAGAGTCTCAGAGTAACATTACAAACATTATATTCACAACATCAAAACACACACCAAAAATATCAAAGTCATATGTTTTGTATTACATGACAAAAGGGACAACAAAATGCCAACGTCATCTAGATATGCTAGATATAAGTTCTCCATTTCCTCTTTTATTATGCGATAAAAATTTATACACATTAGCCGCCGCGCTTAAAATTACATTGCTTTCAAAGATTCAGAAAACACACTTACGAAGGTTTGAAGTAGGCGTGAAAGAATATATACATTTCCCATCCAAAATTGAATCTGAATCTCAGTGCCGGACCCACTTATTTGCCAAATGCCGTTCCCTATGGAAAAATCTGGTCCAAATCCCATTGCTAGGTTTCCCAGTGACAGCAATTGAAATAGGTTAATCCCAGCAACCATTTTGCCCTGTGTGACTCCTTGGAATCTAATTATTAAATATACTCGTTAATAAGTTTAAAATCCCACATTTCTCTGAGAGAAAGAACATAGAGATGCAGTGCATAATATATCTTAATTCATGTTGATAAAATTTTTCAGCACTATTTCCAGAGTGGCAAAGGCTACTCAAGTTCTTCTGGGCTTAGAGGAAAATCTCTGCTCACAATTGAGTGGACCAATCAACATGGCTGTGGTGATCGAGATTTAAATTGTAACATTGTTCTGCAATACCGATGTCAAGATGACACGAAACATCCAACATTAAATTCTCACTCAATGAGGAATGGTAAGAGAGATGTCATAACCTAATACTCCTAATCGAAAGCAGGAATCCTGAATTGCTGTAAATATTGGTGCGAACTGAGATTATTCTTGCATGTATTTTTGCACAATCATCCAAATATGAAATCAATGAAAAGTGAAGATTTGTTAAATTTAATTAAAACATTCTTTAACTAGAGGGCACTCAGAGACTGCATACCTCCGCCCGTTACTCGGAAGTGAAACGCAACCTTGGAATTTCCTAAGAAATCCACTTTATAATTCCTAAGCATAAAAGATTACAGGCCCCCGCGAATTGAAATCGAATTGCTAATAGAACATATTACTGTTGTTGTACTGTACAGGGTGTCTCAAAAAAAACCAAAATCATTGAAATAACGTATTGTTCGAATTTCAATGCCGTAACACAAAGGATTTTGACAGGGTGATTAATTTGTTTTAAAAAATTAAAATATCTTTGTAAAGTGAACGTTTGTTTGCTCATGGGAATTTAAAAATGCTTCGTAAATTGTAACATGCGTAATATGCATTCGTGGGTTTAGTACTTTATGCCTGACATAACAAGTTTACGCTGAGTATTACCATTCATTATAGCAGTTATGTCAATCTTTTATGCACTCGTGGGATTAACTTCGTGCTAGGGCATTGAATATCGAACAATACGTCAATTTCAATAATTTTGGGTTTTTTTGAGACACCCTGTACAGTACTTGTAAAATAAAAACCTATTACTTAATAATGCACTCGCGCGTGCAGTAATTTTATGCACTCGCGCGTGCAGTAATTTTCACAGTTGTGCTATTTTAAATTCCCAGGCAGCTAAAATCTTTTGTCTTTAAAACAATGTCGATTTCTTGCGAAATTCCGAGGTTGCGTTCTTTTTATACATCCTGTATTGAAGTAATCTAATGTTGTTAGAATTTGAATGGACTGGCACTTTGCTGAACGTAATAATGCGTAACTCCGTAAGCCTTGTTTTAGACATTGAATTTCGGTTGCGTGAAATGCAACTAAGACAATATATAATGAAGGCCGAAGCTTAATGAGGTTTATCATCTCATTATTGTCTTAGCACTGAGTGCATAAATTATACACGTCCTAATTACGCATTCAGTAATTTTTTTGTTAATTGACCGGGAAGAGCAAAACAAAATTTTGTTCATTTCTCGTTCAATTTTTAACCAAATTCAACCAAATTTTAATCAGTTCTTCCTTAGCCGATGGGAAATGCATTCAAAAAATTTCGTACAGATATGTTTGGTATTTCTTGAGTTATCGTGCTCACAGACAAACACACACACACACACACACACACACACACACAAACCCAGATGATTACATAACCTCCTGGCGGAGGTAACAAACCCAGATGATTACATAACCTCCTGGCGGAGGTAATAACAAAGGTTTCTTATATATTGTCAAAAGTAACATTCCATTCAGAAAATTTTCTAACATATACAGCCCAGCTACAGGGGGCCAGTGCTCTGTATCAGGCCTACTACACCCAACGTTTTCAACAGTTTCTCTTGCTTAAATTATCGTAGGGGAAATTCCCAGGAAGATGCTCAAAGGTTATAGGGAAGCGCAAAAAATGCCATTAGAGGCAAGAAAGTGGACAGACGCATCAGTTTCGTTTTCCTAATGAGATGTCTTGTTCAATTATTTCTTGATATTTTATATACTCGTGCGATAGTTGTAATGAGTTTAAGATTGAATACAAATGGCTGCATGGTTAAACTACTATACATTGTCTCGAAAAAAGTACTGAAATATATGGAGAATGGTATTTATGTCATACTCGATGCATGAAAAATATAAGTAAACGTTTGGCTTTAATCGTGTGCCCAAGCAAGGGATGTTTAGATTAGTTTTAGATTTAGTTTATATCTGAATTTAAATTTAAATCACACATTGATTTACTCCCAGGACGTGACACCGCCACCCCAGAATATCAGAAGAGAAGTTACACCAGACGTTCAGACAAAAATTCCGCACTGCCCCGTGATTCAGGTCGGGGCCTTCATGAACCTTGGGAATGGTATGATAAGTGCGTGAAAAGAAATCGTGTAGGTGAGTTCTTTGTTTAAAACTAAACAGGCCTAAGTAGATCAATATTATATGAGCTCCAAAATTTCATATATCTCCGAGTAACTATCAACTCAACATCGCACATTGCCATGCAGGTCCTTGAGGAAAGACCCTGGTCGGAGCTGCATGGTCTTGTGGCTCCCAGATTCTGGCTGCTGAATTAAAATTGTACTTAAGGAGGGGTGGTAGAGGAGTGCGCCTGTTGCGATGAGAAAATTACAACTTGAGTGTTATAAGTTTGCAACGAAAGACAAATGAATTTGCAGTCAACAAGCACTTACTATTCTACCAAACATCTGTATTATATGTCTAAGATTTTCTGTGAGATATACCGGTTCTAAAACCATTTCTTTCACTTCGTCTTCGAGCTGTAAAACAAAAGTATTTCAAATTTTCAAGGCCAAGCGGTTTTTGGCCGAACAAATTGTCAAGGCATTTTAACGGAGGATAATTAATTATTGCTTCGGTTAATGGCTATTATAGACTATACAGTATAAACAATTATACCATTCGCTCTCGTCGTATATGGCTGATAGCCGACTCGGTGCCACGCACTTCGTCGATAATTGCCATTAAACAATTTCAATTTTAGCATTCCAACTCATTGTCAACTTTAATTTCGGATAATATCCTTGTTTCTATAAGTTAGCCTTTCGTGTTTCTTGGGAAGGGAAATAAGCATAAACATTTAAAAACATTTGAAAGCATATTTGACGTCCTTTGGTAGTTTTTGATAAAGTTGGTGTTCGTTCTCCTTTCGAATCATGCCTTCATTAACAAAATATCAAAGAGTTTTATGGTTACCCGTGCAAGACATCATATACGTGCAAGAGGGCATACTTTCTATGATGAATGAGTGAATATTTGTCCAGCAATTATGTTTTTCATTCGTTCTTTAGGCTACAATAAAACTATATATAATATATCAAGTTTAACCAAATCATATTTGATAGTCAATTTTATGCAAATTGTTAACATTGTAAAATGTGCTTATTCGAATTAAAACATTCATTTTGATAGCTCAGTCAATATTGCACGGACATTCAAATGTTACATATCAAACTCTAAGTTAGCCCTTTCTGTGAGCCACGTGACCAGCTCCGAACAGGGTCTTTCCTCCTCAAGAGAGAAGTGCCTGGAAACGAGTTTGCTTTTAGCTGCGACTGTAAAATGGGAACTATTTTACAAAAGGTCTGCAAGTAAATAGTTTAACTTCCCTGGTCTTCTTGCATGACAACGCTTTAAAATATTTGAATAACAATTATCGACATAAGAGGTGAAAGTTTCCGAAACACTACCGAGACTAAGTTTGCTGCAAAAAGAATTTAGTCGATTTCCTTTGCGACGCACAAATTATTTTCTAAGTCTTAAAAAATTAGCATGTCTTCTAAGGATATTATTACACTAGATTGTCACCAGTTCCTTTAAAGGTGTAGAATGTGCGGGTTGTCCTTTACAAATTCTAACATTGAGCGCGCAAGTTATGATAGGTAACTTCCTATTTAGAGTCTTATAATCCGGCCGAGTTTTTTACGGGTTTCCAATTTACCAATAAATCACAGTCACATGCATAAGCATGAGATATATGCTATTCCATAATAGGACTTAGTATCTAGGAATGAGGATTATCATAAGCTACTGATATTTTCCAGGCATCAAATGCCCAGCGATAACTACAAGAGGAACTTGTTGTGTCTTTCCGTTCAAATATAAAAACACATTGTATCAATCTTGCACCAAAGTGGACCATGGAAATACATTATGGTGCGCAACAACAAGCAACTACGACAAAGATCGGAAATGGGGAAACTGTAAAATGACTCAGCCTAAGGGTAAGCCATATAATATATAACTGTTATATAAACGCAGCAGGTTTAATTTTATTAGAACAGTTTCCTAAATTACCCTGTTTAGTCATTTCAACAGCGAACTAAAATTACTCAATAGTTTGAACTTACTTTGTTTTCCTAAAAACAGTTTACCAGGGGAAAAAGCAGTTCAGTGCGGGCGTTTAGTGCGGGCGGGAGAAGAAAGGGCGTCGTTAAATAAACGCCTGCCCAAATGCCTATGATTAATTTGTTCTTCTCCGAAGAATCTTCGGAAAAGCTTCCCATTGGTTAATCTCGTTAACGGAAGTAATTACGTAACTCAAATGTCAACAATAATTTTGCTTGCGTTGACGCGTTTATAGTCGCGTATCAAAAATATGCCGGCTGTTAATGCTTTCGAGGAAACGTTCTTATATTTCAAGTACTTAGGCTTCGAAATTCAGTTGAACCAGAACAGAAAAGGATATTATTAATTTGCTACGTGGTGAAGACGCCAGTTATCGCTATTCTTCCTAAGGAATACGGAAAAGTTTGATCTTTCAATTATACATTTGAAATATATCCTGAATATTTCTTTAATATAGTTATCTTGTTATTTGTTCACTTTAAAGTATAATTCAAGACCAGATAGTTAAGGCTATATCACTTGGCATTGCAGCTATGAGGTTGCATGATGATTTTAAGAATAACATTTCAAAACATGCTCAACTGTTATATTTGCTATACGGCAGAATACGTTAAACAACCGTGGTTCAGGAGTCTTTTAAAAGATATAAAAGCTCTGTGCACGTTGTGACTGACTGTTGTCAAAAACTCATTAATAATTCATGAGGAAAACACAAAGAAAAATCATAAACGTGTCGTTCCTTGATATGTGATAGAGATTTCCCTTGATTTACACAAATTTTAATGATTTTCTCTACATATACACACCGAATTTTTTGAAAGCTACTTCGCCAATGAACGTATACTAGATAGATCGTTTTTGAAGCAATTTAAAACATTCGCAGTGCGTGTTTTATCAGACCATCTTTATAATTATCTGACAAAGCACTGCTGTTCGTGTTTTAGATAGGGCATAAAATCTCTGCAAATCTCCGTAGTTGCCGAGCAAAAAGCATGCATGATGCTAAATATGAATCTCGACTATGATTGGATAATGGGTGAAGGTGCTAATTACAAAACGTCAATCATCCTTAATGGGCGAAAACAAATTTGTCATAGCCAATTTGGGCAGGCGTTTCCTGTGTACCAGCTAAACGCCTGCTACGCAGGCTAGTGTAGTGTTCCTGGTTTAGTAATAGCACTTCCCTTTCCACTAGACAAGATTTTTTTTGTATCAACCAATTTGATTTCCAGTTTTAAATTAATGGAATTTTTATTTTTGTATGTTTTTTAAATTTTTTATCGACGAGATTTTTATTTCGAATTTTATTTGTTTTTTTAATTTGCGATCGAAGATTTAAAACATTTTTGGAAGCATTTTATAAAAATTGTCCTAATTGTTTGACTTATGGAATAAAATACGCTAATTTGGAATCATTTTTTATTTGCGTTTTTTTGTCCGCAACGGAACGCCATACTTTTAGGTAGGGTTTTTAGTTCTAAAACTGACCATTTTCGCGAAAAATTTGAAAAACATCGATCGGTAAACTTTAGTAATTTTTCAGTTTCCGCGAAGCCCACGCGTGTTGAAAACTTACAAGACAGCACTCTATAGGCCAATTTAGGCCGCTATCTTGGCTTCACGCAGTCATAGCGCAGTTTACTTGCATGCATGCAGTCATCGTTTTAGTTATAATAGAGTTCACTGGGTTCAAGCATTCAGTTTTGACCAATTACTAAATACTTCATGTTAAATCAATGTTTGGCAAATATAGTTGTGGGTTGCTGAATGCATGTATTTCCAGTAGAGAATATAGATATGTCTCCGAGGAAGCTTGTCAGTGACCGTTGATGTTTTAAAACAAACGAAAATTATAAACTGATCACTCACCAAACACGAAATAATCTCGCCTATCCTAATAAGCAATCCGGATTATAATATGCTAGATATGATGACTTTTCCTTTCCAGACACCGCCAACTGCGCAGTGAAAACTACATCAAGAACTTGTTGTGTCTTTCCGTTCAAATATAAAAACAGATTGTATCGATCTTGCACAAAAGTGGACAATGGAAATACATTATGGTGCGCAACAACGAGCAACTACGATAAAGATAGGAAATGGGGAAACTGTATAATCACTCGGCGTAAGAGAGGTAAGCGAGATAAGACACGATAAGACAAATCGTTTTACTTCCACGTTTGAATGTAGAACCAGAGGAACGACGTTCAGGATAAAACTGCAATTATTTCGGCATGGTTAAAGTAATCGAAAAAAACATTCAACGTCATTCTGGACTAACATTAAGTGAATTGAAAAAATAGACATATTTATAGATTGTCCGGTTTTCTCTGGACAACATACAGCACTAGTCATTATATAACGAGTAGCCACGATCGAAAGTAAAGGCAGGCACGTCAATTTGATTGACGTGAAAATCGTTATAAGTTATAATATTAGCAATAATGATAAAATTTATAACAAAACCTATCTAATGCTATTCTGCATATTTAACTTTTAATTAAAGTATAGTAAATAAAGAAAGTCTCTCGGTCGAAGGAAAGAAAGAGTTTGATAAACTTGTGGCTATGATCGACATCTTGTTTGACCTACTATTTCAACACAGTCTTAAAGGGGCAGTGTCACCAATTTTTACCAAAAATGTCTTTTATTCGAAGTCCGACTTGCGAATTTGAAAATCAACATTATAAATACGTTCAGTTATGATATACGAGCCATATTAAACAACTTTGAACTTCCAGACAGCATGTAAGATAACGTTTTCATACAAATTTACTTAAACTTGAAAAAGTGTCCGCCAACAATTAATCAAGATGTCATTTTTTACAATCCATCTGAATCCTCGCCTAATCTTAACCATCCGGACTTCTGTACATGCTATTCGTATTTATTATTGTTTTATGTTGTGCTAACAAACATTCTTTTTCGGTTTTGTGCAAGATTCATAATGATTTGCGAGTGTCAAAATCGGTGACACTGCCAATAGAAGTTAAAATAGAAGTTAAACGTCCTAGGTTAAAACTGTAAAAACTGACAACAAATCAACAATTGGCGATCATCTCTAGATTAATTTTCGGTGTTATCACAACCTAATAAACAATTATTATTATATATTGAAGTTGGTAAAATCGCGCAATCACGCAACTTACAGAAAATTCAGTTATCTGCTAGCGGATAACGAAGTTATCTGCAAATGAGCCTGTGATGATTAGCAAACAGTATCTATTTAACACAAACAGCAAGTTTTATTAAACAATTATTAATGAATTAGGTTTTTGCGAGATGCAAAATTATTAAGAAATTTGGCCTTTTTGGTTTAGTTTTCGGTGTTGAAAAAGAGTATTAGTGAGATCTCAGAAATTAAATTAAAAATTTCTTTAAAATCGTACCCGTTTTAACGCCATTAATTTTACCCAAAGAACCTAGTCACAAACTGATCTTAAAATTAATACGCTTTCTAAATCTCTTTCTTTCAAAGGATCAGATGATAGCCCTAATCTTAAGAATTATGACGAGCAAACAACTGGAGGAATGTTTGATCCTTATCTTAAGAATTATGACGAGCAAACAACTGGAGGAATGTTTGATCCTTATCTTAAGAATTACGACGAGCAAGCAAGTGGAGGTACGTGTGACTAAATAAGTTATTACAGATGTTATGAATGGTAAACATTTTTTGAAGATTTTCACTTGACCAAAATCCAACTTACTTTTTGTAGTTTTTTATTAACCTTTCATTTTAATCAAAAGTTCTGATGGAAAAGCTTACAGTAATCCGGGTAATCGAAATTGCCTGAACTTGCATGTCATTGAGCTTGAGTTTAATCACTCAACAACAGTGGTAGGTAGGTATACAGGTTTAAGCCGTTTGTGTTTCTCGGGAATTATTGCTGAACTTGTACAACCTTGGCAAGCCAAACAAACAGTCCTATATCACAGTTTTGTTTAGAATTTTCTTTCTCTAAATTTACAGGACTATTCACAGCTGATCAAAAACTGAACGGTAAG